CCATTTCAGCAGCTTGTACCCGGGTTCGAAATTTTTCAGTGATGGTCCACGACTCATGACCGTAGGTAAGCATGGGGATAAAGATCGACTTGAGCACCGATAGCGTAGTTTTCAGACTGAACTCTGCTTTAGTTACAATCGATCGGGCTAGTTCACGCAGAACGTCACTGGCTGCTCCAATTCGTCGGTCGATCTCTTCCTAAAATTTTCCATCACTAGTTAGCACGACTCCGAGGTACTTGAACTTCTCCACCTGCTCGACTGCCTCTCCGTTAATCTGAAGTGAGCAACGGGCAGGAGAACGAGAAAGCACTAGCCTTTTCGTTTTAGATTCGTTCAAACACTTGCCTATCATGTCGCACTCGACTGTAAACCTTTCCAAGAAGCACTGTCGATCAGTTTCAGAAGATGCCAATAGAACAAGGTCGTCTGCAAACAGTAACTTTCTTTTTCACATCTCTTACCTTGATACAGTCATCCTCCTGGCTGGTCCTGACAATTCTATCCATGTACAACACAAACAGAATAGGGGTCAGGACGCAATCTTGGCGGAGACCAGTGCGAACGTTGAACAGTTTCGACTTAACGCCATTTGCTCTGACGCAGCACCTGCTATCAGAATACAGTGATTGGATGACCCTTAGCAACTGGCAATCTATCCCGTATGCTGGAAGGAATGACTACAGACTGTTGCGTGGGATCCGGTTATAGGCTTTTCTAGGTCAACAAAGCGCATGTACACCGGATGAGCGAACTCTCGCGATTTCTCAACAATCTGAGGGCTAATTTATGGTCAGAGATGCTTCGACCGGGACGGAAGCCACACTGCTCTTCTTGTATGTTGAGGTCATTTATTTCGCGGCGCCTCCTTTTTAGCATCTTTGCGTCGTCTTTACCTGGAACACTCAATAACGTAATACTCCTGTAATTGGAGCATTAATTTGGAATAAAATTTTTGAAAAATAATTTTCCCAAAATTTTTCCTTTCGTTCATGCGTTTGTTAAATACTTGATCTATCAGATGTTCAGTAAGCGGTGAATATTGTGGCTGTGTAAGGTAGAAGGAAAATAAAGAATTTATATCTTCCCTGTTATAAGATAAACGTACACCTTTTTCTGAACTCAGTTGCACTTTTGACCAATTTAAGTAGATTGGCTGCGTCATCTCAAGCATTGGCACCACCAAACTTGAGTTAAATAGGAGGAACGCGTGGTGTCGAGTACTTTTGA